TTTTTTTTTTTTTTTTTTTTTTTTTTTTTTTTTTTTTTTTTTTTTTTTTTTTTTTTTTTTTTTTTTTTTTTAGTTTTTTTATTTTTGTTTTAGGTAAATTTTTTATTTATGTTTATTTTTGTTTTGTAAATAGATAGTGACATTCTGTGCGTCTACATTTCCAGGTGTATTACTGACATTAACCAACAGTTTGATATCAAAGCATCTTTAAATTAATTTACTAAATCAAGAATCTGCAACAAGAAACAAAATATGTCAATCTAGTCGCCTGTAATACCACAAAAAAAAATAAAAAGAAAAGCTGCAGAGAAAAGCCAATCCGAAGTGTTTGACTGGCTCTCAGCATCAGTTTTCAGTGTGATCTGCACTCTTCAGCTGACGAGGAAACAAGTGTGTGTTAATAAATAAACACCTACTACACACTTTGATTCCGAAAGCTGAAAGTCTGGCAGCAGGACAGCATAATTATGAAGTACACACACACTGCGGCTAATTATACATTATTAACGCTATTAGCGGAGCACGTTGACTAATTCCACATGGCACGATTTGCTTTCCTCCCTGAGTTTTGCTGGATGAGGCGTGAGAGCAGGTATTTACAGATTCGGGAATGTTTTGGGAATGCCGAGAGCTGTTTCTTGTGTCCTGCTGTTAGGAAATGCAGACGTATCCGTTTATACAGTCGCAGATACAGAGACCTGCGGGATGTAGATCTACCACAGATGCTGCATGATGCCCTGGGAAATCACTAAAGAATTAACGAGTTCGGAAATCATCATCTTTTATGAACAGCAAAACAATTAAAGTGAAAAACGAAAGCAAAAGGAGTAAAGCTAGTAAGTGTTTTCTATTTATTAGAAGACAGATGTGGATATGGAGTTAACTAAATTATTTATTTTATTTTTATTTTCAATTTATTTTTATTTTATTTTATTTTAAATGTAATATTTAGGGAGTGACGTTTTTTTATTAATTTTTAATACATTTATAATTCGGTCTAACAACAATTAAATAACACATTTTATAATAATTAATAACTCCTATAACAATAACCGCTAAAATAAAAATATGAAAATAAAATGTATTTTAGAAGAATTAATTTTGTTATTATCTATAATTAATTTATAAACTGGTTAACTGGTTATATTAATGGACAACATAAATTAAATTAAATTGTTTGATTAATAATTATTATGATTATATTTAAATTTAATCTTTAACTATAACTATTACAAAAATGTAAACGTTAAATTTGTACAAATGCAAACGTACGTATTTTCATGTAAAATTATGGGGGAAATAAAGAATAAGTAATTTATAAATGCCTCCAATGGGAAAAAAACAATATTACATAATTGTTTAAGTTTATATTTATTAATAAAACACAAAAAAATGAAAATGCTGAACACTACATTAAAATATTAGAGCAATTTTTGTTGTTCATCCTAGAAGAAAACATTTCTGGTTCATGTTTTTAGCTGTAATGCACCAAAATAGAGAGAGTCAGTCTAAACAATATGTATAGCGCAAATGCAGAGAATACAGTCATGGGAAAAGCGCTGACAACATGATTCTGATCAAAATCAATGATGTTCTAGTGTCTAATCTAATGAACACCGTCATCTCAACGGGACTGGAGGACGATGTTAAACTGAGCCGCAGGGAATGTGTGGAGATGCTAAATATAAACTCTCTCAGGGTTAAAATAACATGTGACTGACCCCCATGTACACACTGCTGACCCTTATAGGTGTGTGTGTGTAGTATGAGTTTGTGTGTGTGTGTGTGTATATATATATATATATATATATATATATATATATATATATATATATATAGATAGATAGATAGATAGATAGATAGATAGATAGATAGATAGATAGATAGATAGATAGATAGATAGATAGATAGATAGATAGATAGATAGATAGATAGATAGATAGATAGATAGATAGATAGATAGATAGATAGGTGTGTGTGCGTGCGTGCGTGCGTGCGTGCATGCGTGCGTGCGTGTGTGTGATTAAATAACTTATTTATGAATTTTTTATATATTTATCTTTTAGTTTTTAATAAATAATCAAGATGAGTCTTCAGCTCACTACAACAAACTAACATAAATAAATGTTTTAAACAAATAGTCAAAATATGAACTATAAAACACATCAATAACTAATAAACTAAAACTTTAAAAAGACATGGGCAAGTTTATATATAAAAAAATAAATAAATCACAATATTACCAAAGTATCATTCTAAACCAATACAATAGAATGCATAAATAAATAAATAAATAAATAAACACATAAATAAATAAATAAATAAATAAATAAATAAATAAATAAACACATAAATAAATAAATAAATAAATGCATAAATAAATAAATGCATAAATACATTAATTAATTAATGCTTAAATAAATGCATCTAATAAATAAATGAATACATAAATGCATAAACAAATGTAAAAATAAACGCAAAACTAAATGCATAAATAAACAAATGCAAAAATAAATGAATAAATATTAATATCTTTATCTTGTAATCTTTAATAAATAATCCAATCCTACGATGTGACTATTATGGATACACACATTACGATATCAATGCTCAAACAATAAATTGTGCAGCCCTAGAGAGAACTTTACCCTAAACTAAAGTGAATGACAGATATGAGATCAGCGCACTACAATTTACAGAATGGTTTTATGTATATCACGCAAATTGTGGTTTCTTTGTCCATGACCCCTTTGATAACTCCACAGTATGCTCCATCAGCTGTGTGTGTGTGTGTGTGAGAGGCCTGCAGTGATGACATCATGGGATACAGTGGTGCCACAGACAGACAGCTGGCACTCCACTGGCGCCGCCCTGATTACAGCTGCTTGAGGAGCTCTGCTGTCTCACACTCTCAATGACCAGCACAATCCTCAGACCAGTGATGTGAAGATCAATACACACACACACACACACACACACACACACAATCTCTAAACCCAGCACGTGTTTTCACTCACCAGCAGTAGCAGAATCAGGCACCTTCTTCAGCGACGCCGCACACACATCTCCAGGAATACGAGGACTCTCCACATATTTGGGCTTTCTAACCAATCCTTCAGAACAGAGAGAGATAGAAACATCATCAAGAAGGCTCTCCAATGGCAGATCTCAGAGAAAACAGCGTCTGAATGATGCGAGCGTAAAGAGTGGACAGACTCAAGCTGCTGGTGTCAGCTGCAGTAACACTCTCTCGCAGATCTGGGAATGTAAACTAGAGGCGGAAACAGCACAGTTTAACTTTCAGATCCGTCTCTGATACTGAGAGTGTTTCTGAATACACATCTGCCCCTACATACAGTACATTCCCAATGCATACATTTATTAAGAAAACAGCCAGTGCTTTTTCTGCAAATGCCTCGCTTTTGTTTTTAAAGGCACAGAACTATGCTTGGAATTGATTTTATACACTGATAAAAGTCCGCTTACTGAAGGGGGGAAGATGGGAAATTACACTATGTTCAAAAGTTTGGGGTCGACAAGTTTAAACTATTTATAAGCATACAGTAAAGATATGGCAAAATAATGATTTCAATTTATAATATTTTCTTTTTCATTTATTTCTGTGCTGCAAAGCTGAATTTTCTGCTTCATCACTCTAGTCTTCAGTGTCATCCTAATATTAATTGATGCTAAAAACTTCTTAGAGATGTAAATAAAAACAATTAAATTAAATAAATAAAAACAGATAATGACATAAAATTACACATACAAACAAATATAAAACTATTGGAAAAAGAAGTTTAAAAACAAAAACAAAAAAAATGTAAAACAAAAACGAAAATAAAAACTAAGCAAATAAAAAACCTACAACGAAAATAAAAAACAAAAGAGAATAAAAGAACTAAACAAAAACCAAACAAAAACCAAATAAAACTAAAAATAAAAAAACAAATAAAACTAAACAAACAAAAATAAAAAACTAAACAAACAACAAAACAACAAATCAAGAAAAAAATAAAAAAACAAATAAATAAACTGAAAAAAACTAAACTAAAACAAAATTAAAACTTAACTAAAACAATAGACAAAAATAATAATAATAATAATAATAAATAAAATAAATAAACAAAGCAAAAAACTAAAATAAAAAACTAAACTTAAAAGACGAAACAAAAATAAAAATAAAAAAACTAAACAAACTAAAAAACTTAAAAGCAAAGAAAAACAAAAAACTAAAATTAAAAAAAAACAAACTAAAAAGCAAAAAATAAACGTAAAAGAAAAAGAAAAAAAAACAAAACTTAAAAAACAAAAATTAAAAGCTAAACTAAAACTAAACTAAAAACAAAACAAAAACAAAAACTTTTACCATGTATCACAGAAGATAAAACATTTGAATAAAAATCAATATGAATAAAATAATAAAACAAGTAAAGATAAGAAAATACAGTAAACTTAAGATAAGTTAACATGATAAGTTAAGATCAGGTAAGAAAATGTTTTAACTTGCTAAACTGTAACTAAACCAAAGCTAAAGCAAAAAAACGTTGAACAGTTGTGTAAACGTTTATACACAATAACATATAAAAAACTAAATAAATAACAATATTAATATTAACAATTATTATGTACAGTAGTGTATGAGTCTAAAATACTGCATAAAACAGCCTCATATTTGATATGAACAGCAATACTCTTCACATCTGACACGACAAGCTTGTGCCATCCTAAAGAGGCAGAATATTCGCAGTTGAGCAAATAAAAGACAGCATCTCCAGCCTAGTAAAGCCTGTAGATTTAAAGCACGTTCCTCTGTTTATGATGGAGGACCTGCAGAGATCAAAGACCTGGAGGCCCCAGTCAGATCTGACCAAATAAGCTCATGGAGGAAACAGTGTGTATACATCCAGCAGAGCTCCACACCTGCTGAACTTTGACCTCGAACTGGTGTTTATATGAGCTCAACATCCTCAAGTCATCAACATCAAATTATAAATGATGCAGCTTTCTTAGTGTACACTGCTTTTCTAATAGGAACAACATACAGTTGAAGTAATTATTATTAGTTCTCATGTGAATTGTCTTTTTCTTTTGGAGAAAGTCTGATTTGTTTTATTTTGGCTACAATATTTTTTTTAACCATTTTAAGGTCAATACAACAAACTAACATACATAAAATTATTAAATCAATCATACAAATATTATCTAATTTACATTATTATACAAATATTATAAAAATGATAAAACATAAAAAACAATAAATTAAATAATAAAATTATTTAGATTAAATGACAAAATCC